CCAGCTCAGCCCACCAGGGGGTGGGGCTGGCTGGCATGTGGTGCTGGGGGATTGAACCGCGGTCCCTGTGCTCTGCTAAGCTTGTTCTGAGTAGGTGCTTTAGACCACTGAGCCATCTCACCAGCCCCTCTACCTTATTCTTGAAAAGCTCAGAGTGATTTGAATTTCTCATAGTAAGCTTTACACACACCGGTAATAGAGTCATTTGTTATGCTTATCGAGCATCACGCACCATGCGCAGTTCCACGTGCTCCGCTTCCATGTGACTGGCCTCAAAGGGGTGCGCATACCTGCAGTGCCACTGACTTGTGAGTAGCATGGTCCTCTAGGCTGCGACAGAAGCTACCGTGTTGCCAGTGATGGGGTTTTCAGCTCTGTTGTCATCTACCAAATCATTATCCTGTACCCCCTTAAAATTAAAACTAATTAAATTATAAAACATTTCTGGGGCCAGGGAGACAGCTCAGTGGAATAAGTGCTTCCCTTGCAAGTGCAACGGCCTGAGTTCAATCCCTGGTTCTGCAAAAATAAATAAATAAATAAATAAATAAATAAATAAATAAATAAATATTTTAAAAAACCATTTCTTCCCATAGTTCCTAACACAACAGAAAGCATATTTGTCATTTATATCCCAAGTTTTTCTGAAATATTAAATTGAGATTGTCCTTTTAAAAAGCCATTTCTTACTGTATGAACATACAGTGTACATGAAATAGATGTAAAAAGAAAATTAAAAATAGGATAACAGAAAAAAATTGTTTTTCTTTTAACCATGGTGGCAATTGAAGATTTTATTTGATAATATTTATTTATTTATTGTATTTGATTGTTACAGGGTCTCACAACACAGCTTGGACTCGTAGTGATCCTCCTTTTTTCAGCCTTCCCAGCACTGGGATTATAGATGTGAGCCACCACACATGGACGCTGTGGCCTGCTCTGCCTGCCAGGGGTGGGGCTAGTGCCAGGGGTTGAACTGCGCTCCCTGTGCTTGCCTAAACTTGCCTAAGCAGACACTTCAGTCTGCTGAGTTATCTTGCTGGCTCCTTATTTGATAATTTTAAATGCTGAATTATACATTATAATTGTATAATTGTGAATTATACATTCACATTTTCTATACTTCCTAAAATTTATATAGTTGAAAGAAAAAATACTAAGACAAGTTAAAAAGAATCACACTATGGAAAATATACTTACAATTATATTTCTGATTTATAAGATTATAGTGTTATTTAATTAATCAGAAATATATGAATAAAGAAATAAAATATGACAAATTATCAATGACTATTAGAATACTGTTTTTCATTTTTGTTATTTATTGATTTTTTCTAATATTCTACTATAGAGATTGCATCCTGCAGTCCTCGGGCTGGTTTATAAATATTTACTAGAATATGAGCCCTTGTTTTATAATATAGTTAAATTTATACATAAATAAAATGCAATAGAATATTATTGTTGATCTCAAAATAGCAAGGTAGAGCTATCATTTGTGATGTATGAATAAACCTGGATAAAAGAGATGCTGTATGATCTCATTCGTTTGCGGGATCCAAAGAACTTGAGTTGGTAGAAGCACTCTGTAGAGCAGTATTTCTACAGTCAAGTAGTAAAAATAAGATGCTGTTGTTCAAAGGGTACAAATTTGCCTTTATGTAGGATAATATGTCTAGAGTTCTAATAAACAGCATGAAGACTAGTTAACAATACTGTGTGCTGAGGGCACTTGCTTAGACAAACAGAGGGACTGAGGTTCGGTCCCCAGCACCACAGGCCACATTGGCCCTGCCCCCAGGGGTGCTGAGCCGGCCACTGAGTCCGGGCGTGGTGGTGCAGGCCTGTAATTCCAGCCCTGGGGAGGCTGAAATAGGAGGATCACTATGATTCTGATCTGGGTAGTGAGACCTTGTACCAAATACATTAAAAATAATAATAATGCAGTGTTTGTTCATACTGGAAAACTAAGAAACATTTCAGGCATTCACACAGAGTAAGGAGCAACGGTAACTATGTGAAGAGACGCATGTGGTAAGTACATTGTAGATAGCAACCATTTCACTCTGTGTATATATCAAACATTATGCTTGACAGTTTAGATTTATGTAATTTTTATTTAAAAACAGGTTAGAACCATTTCTGCATTCATCAATAAAGGGAATAACTGAAAGCAATAGAAAAGAGAATAGACCAAGTCGTACATCAGGACTTCTGAAAGCAAGTGCTGAAATTAGCTTTTATTGACTTATTTCAAACATTACCATGCCAATGGAAATATGGTTCTTGTTTTCCTCTGTATTCCAATTGAAAGATAGCTACAAATGAAATGAGTGTAGTATAGTATCATACACTGAGCAATATTAACAACTGGATGGCTTTTAAGAGCTAAGCAAACAGCCGTCACTCCATCAAAGGGGAGGGAGGACTAAGTGATTAATTCCCGTGATTTCAAATGTATTAGGTTGTATGTTATTTTCTTTCATAGGAACATGATTTTTCTTTACCATGCAGCCAACAGTTATATGTTCTTAGGCATATCCAAAACAAAAGTTTTTTCTTCCACCTGACTCAACAAACATATTCTTGGGACTAGGAGAATTTCAGTGGTATGAAAATACTTAAGATGATACCATTAAGAAAATTGTAAATAGCATCTGTTTTGGGAATGCACTAAAATTAATGTAATTCCATAGAGTCATGTAATTTCTAATACTATGCATTTAAAAAATGATGCAGTAAGAAATGGTTTTAAGTAGTTTCAATTACTAAAATTGTAAAATTTCTAAAATTACTTAATTTAATTCTTTATAATTAATCGGGCTTAATACATGATCCTTTTTTATGCTTTGTGCTGAAAATCCTAAAGTAAGCATTTTGACTAAGATACTATTGTACTTAACGATTTGTGCCAGTACCATTTTCTTTATGTTTGAAAATAAAGTTGGGATAGCTTTTAATTTTAGTATGACACTTCAGTATTTATCTAAATTTTTAAACTTAACTTTGAGTGAGTTTTGTTCCTTAAATAGATTAAATTTTTCAGTTTTTAGCTAATTGTAAAGTCTTCTCTTGGGCCGGTCAAATAGCTCAGCAGATTAAAGTGCCTGCAAGCAAGCGCAGGGGCCAGGGTTTCAGCCTGTGCCGGCCCTGCTGTGGGGCACACTGAGATAGCAATTGAGCCTGGGTGTGGTGGCACAGTCCTCTAATCCCAGCTCTTGGGAGGCTGTAAACAGGCAGATAGATCTCTAGGAGTCCGTTCTAGTAGTGAGACCCTGAACACCCTGTAGACGTTTCCCTAAAATATAAAACAAAACAAAAAAACCCAAAAAACAATCATTTCTTACATCATTTTCCTGTGAATTTCTGGTAATTTTTTGAGTACAATATTATGAATACACAGAAATCATATTACTGTTATTACTGAATAATGATCATTTATTAACTGGTAAGAGTAATATATAGAAAAATGAATAAAAATTTAAATATTTTTTCTCTTTTTTGTATAGGTTACTTGAATTTCAAATAAGGGTTCGATAATGCCACCCACGCCAGGCGCCCCGCCTCAGTACCCGCCTCCTGACGGAGGCTGGGGCTGGGTGGTGGTTGGAGCTGCTTTTATATCCATTGGATTCTCATATGCATTCCCCAAAGCAGTCACAGTGTTCTTCAAAGACATTCAGGAAATATTCAATACTTCTTACAGTGAAATAGCCTGGATATCATCTATAATGCTGGCCGTTATGTATGCAGGAGGTAAGATTATTAGAATAAGTGAAATTCTGGATTAAGAAAGTAGTTCCCTCATGCTGTATGTTTTTTATACATGGTCTTTGTATGTAAAAGCCCTATAGTCTCATTATAGGCAGTTAATCAGAAGAATAGTTAGAAATGAATTTGAATAACCTAACATCTTGAACTAGCCACTTCATTTTTGGACTTAGTAGAGTAGTATTTGCATAGTTGTATAAACCAAAATGTTGTAAATTATATAATTTTCAAGTGAATTGCTTCCATTTTTTTTTTCATATAACGTGCATTATAGTGTTGGTATCACTCTTTACTACTACTGTAGCTAACAGACATGATTTTGTAGCTAACAGACATGCTTTCTTCTGAAGGAGAAGGAAACGTAAGTTGTTGACTATTTATAAGCCCAGAAAAATACATTACCTTATGCAGTAAAAAAGTGGGGTGCTATCATATACATTTCGTACTCCTTCAAGTTTCAGTAATTAAAACTGAGTCCTTATTCCTACAGGATTCACTAAGTGATGACATCTTTTTATTCAAATGGTTTTTGAAACCATTACTTATTTACATTCTATGTTAAAATGAAGGTGTGAGTCATAAGAGATAACAGATAAATCACAGCACAGTCTGCCTTCTGAGCTTTTGTAAAAAATAATAGAATTCACACATTATTATGCACCCATCATCTTTGGATTAGATTTTTTTTTTTCTTTTTGGAGGTACCAGGAATTGAACTTAGGACCTTGTACTTGCCAGGCAAGCACTTATTCTACTGAGCTATCTCCCAAACCCTAGATTAGTTTTAACTGGTGACAGGAATGCTATGCATATTTTTTAAAATCATTATTTGAAATATATTGATGTTGGACTTTTAAAATTTTTTCAACTGAATATTCCATTCCAAGGGATAGCTATGGACTCAGAAAATAAGAATTTTTAAAATTACATACATTATCTAGTGTCATTTTTGTTTTACAAGACAACATGACTCTTAATGAAGGATATAATGTATTAGTGATAATATCCAATATTTATTATTTATTTTCAGTCAGGACCTCTTGACCTTTGATATGTGTGGTATGACTTAATTCTTTCAACAACCTGTAAAATAAGTGTTATCTTCTTTGTAGTCTTTAGCTGAAGAAATAGAGATAAAATGCTTTCTTAAGCCAAATAGCTCATTAGTGGCAAATGAAAACTGAGACTTCATTTAATCACTATGCCATCTGCCTGTCTTCCTCTTTTCCTATAGAAAGTGACAGAGTATTCACTAGACCAGACCTTCTGCTAACCTGATGCAGTGTTCTTTTCTTAGAGTGTAGGACTTATGTGCTATCTCTGCCAAGGTCGTTTGTTCTGTGACCTTTAAGATCATTTCTTTTTGTTGTTGTACCCTAAGTCTGTTCCATCTGCTGGACAAAGAATGAACATAGATCGTGTGGATAATCGTATGGAATAATTGAGGGTCCAGGCCTTGAAGGAACAGACTTCATTTCTGCTGCCTGTGAAAGACAAAACCTTGGCTGCTCAACACACACCCAAGGGCCTTTGTCATTCTTCCCACCAGCCTGAGGCCTTCCTCCTGGAGGGAGAGCCCCAGTGGCCAGCCAGGGAAGTGCGCTGCTCTGAAGGCCAGTCCCACCACCAGGGTCCTAGATTACCCTCTCATCAGGCCTGTCAGGAAGAATCCATGTCCCCAATGACCTGGAAAATCTGTGCTGTTACTGATCATCATCAGTTTAGTCCTGTGTTTATATATCTAGCTGTCTGAGGTGTACAGAGAAGTTTCAGTGTACAAAGACATTTCCACCCTAAAGCAACTTCACTGTTGGGAGAGGCTGTTGTCAATAAGTGAAGGAAATCCTTCTTTGAAGAGAAACAGAGAGCAAAAAAGAATTTCCAGAAATTAAAAACATCATGACAAAATAAAGAAGTTCCTCAGAGAGGTCAAATATTGGGATGGCTGGACTTGAAGTCCAAGAGGGTAGTTAGGAAAATAATCAGGAGAAAATACACTAAAATGATCAGGAAATATTTTCCTCCCAACATCAAAACATATGACAAAACCACAATAGCTGATTCATCCTGAAGCCAGCTCTGGCTGGAGTAAACAAGTAGATATTTGTACCAAAACAAGCTTGTTGCCAAACTGACAGTTTGTCCATGGACTCCTCATTGGACACCTGGCTTGAGGTGAACATGAAGATTAAATCCCCCTCTCTGGCACCACACTAAAGTTAAATTTCAGTTGAATTAAGTTTAAGAAAGTCCACTTCATTTCTGCCATACAGTCTATTGGTCAGAACTTTTATATTGCCTACAGAGGTACAGGGACAGTGGGAAATGCAGCGTTCCTAAAGGAAAATAGGTCAGAGCTGGATATCATCCAGGCAGGTGTACAGAGAGCTTTTTACCTCTGTAATCCTCTCCACATCAAAAGCAGAGTGTGTTTTCACATGTGGTCATGGTCATATGACAGCTTTCTACAACTTGGCATTACAGAGCATTAGAATCAAGACTACTCCAAAGTGTGATTTAATTTTCTCAGAAAACTAACTCTCAGTGTAAAATTACAGTAAGTAAATACCTATGCTAGGTTGATCATAAATAAATGCCATCATTTTATTGAAACTTATTTTTTCTTTAATGTGTATAGTATAAATTTGGAAAGACACAAATAGAACCCTTGAAATTCATAAATAAAATGATAGTTTTTTATTTAAATTTGGAAGAATTATGTTCAAATATTTAGAATGGTAGTTTGCTAAAATATGTCTACATTAAAGATTAGCAAGAATTTAGTATTTGGCTCTTTTAAGAACACTGTGCTAAACACATGGACACATTTAGTGTGTACTAATTGAGGATGGTGATGTGTTGGTAAAGCCAAGTAAGAATCTGAGATATTTCCCAAAGCCCTTGTTTATTAGGACTAAAACATTTTAGATGCCACCCATGCTCAAAGTGAGAAGTTAAGAACAACAGAAATTGTGTTACACGTTGATCTTCCCCATAGAACTGGAAACATAATTCCAGTCCCTTTGCCTAGAATAGAAATGCTAACTGTTACATCCATTATTGGATGTAGATCTTCTATATTTACATGGTTTGTTGGAAATAATTTCCTTACATAATCCTTGTAATTAGTTTTTATTATTTTAATAAAAATGATTTGCACCTATAATCACAATATGGAAAGCTTTCCTTATGTGGTTATGGACCATTTTTTCAGGCATAGCTATTTGGAACAAAAAGTACAATAGATTCATTTACTCCAATGCTCAGTTATTAGTCCCATTACTCAGTTGCACTGCTTTTTTTGTCTTTCAAGTGCAGTATATAGAATTTCTGTTCCTGAATATTGAGTCTCTGTAAAAAATGTGTAGTCCTCCACCTTATCATAAACCCCTTTTTATCAGAATTTCTGTTGGTAGCCTTGCAAACTTGAATTTTAACAAGCATGTCTAAAAACCACTGTATGTAGAACACTGGGGTTTTCTATTATAAAAATCAATGTTTGATTTCAAAATATTTAGAATTTTCTGTAGTATTCAACAGCTCTGTATTTATAGAGACCTTTTTGCTTGATGGTTACTAACTAAAATCAAAGACTATGAGGTGAAAAGGCATATGGTTTACTGTGAAGTATAATGAGTCTGTCTACCAATAGCTGAAATCTATTCAACAGAATACTAATTGCATTAGCCTAGAGAATATCTAAGATCTGACACACTCATTAGGGCTTAGCACTAAGCCTATTAATCACTCCGGTGGGGTCATTGGGTAAGATGGAGCGTGCTCTGAGGCTTGGCCTGTGATGTCAGGGCCTGAGTCTCTTGTAGTAATTAGGTGCCATCTGGGCCTCCGTAGCAAGGTATTAGCTTCCCTTCTGATGTCTGAATTAAAAATGAAACTAATAAAAGGTATTTAGGAAGAATGGGGAAGAATGCAAATTATGTTTATACCTTACTTTATCCTTAGAATAATGGCACTAAATTACAGCAACCCATCTGGTTGTCCATATGGTCTGCTGGAGTTCTAGAAATTTTTAGCAAATAGGTCAAGCAAAGTGATCATCCTATTAATATAGCACTAAGTAAGGCAGAAAACACACTACAGTTTAAACTTTTTAAATTGTTGAGAGAGGGCTTTATTTTCTAAATGTGAGATTAGATTTCACTGCAATATTTGTCTGTTATTCTGTCGAATGATAATTACTGGTTAGCTGCACAGTTACTGAATACAGATTTTGAGCTGCCAGTCTATATGAGTATCTTGTGTTTTTCCTCCAATTGTCTGTTCTGATTTAAAAGAATCAGCCACTCTAAAGAACAGGTTTGGCTGTCTTTCTGATAATTTGTTTTATATGGGCAGTGCCTATGAAATGTGCTGAAGTAAACAGTATGGTTTTGTGATGGACCACTGTATGCAGGCGACCAAGCATTAGACCACAGAGCACATTTTACTAGAGTAAAGAAGCAAAATGCTTTAGTAGAGCCAGTAGATTGCTACAATATACAATGCATGTTTTTCTGTTCTTTAAAAAATTTAAATACAGTCACTATATTATTATTCTTTGTTCTCTAAATATTTTGCTGAATAGGGGAGACCATTAAAATAATTCATATAGTACTTTCTCATAGCAACCATAAAAAAGTTATTCTATTCCTGAGTCTGAGATAACTATGAGTTTCTTTCTAGCTTTACAAAACCCAGAAATTCTTGCAGGTACAGTTAGACAACCCTGTGCATGCAGGCCTTGGCATCTTGTGCCAGTGTGTTGTGTGAAGTCTTTTTGTTATACATGAAGGAGGATACTGCTATAGTTTTCCTGGGAAACATGGTCCAGTGTGGTGTAGACTATGATGCTGGTCATGTACCTGTGTGCTCCTCTGCACCTCCCAGCTTCTCTCCCTTCAGGTAGTGCTCAATTGACAGTAACGACGAAGGAAGCGGGAGGGAAAGGCCATACGCCACCCTGGATACCAGGACCAGTCAGTTTG